GCCAACCAGCCTTCAGCAATTGCGAACGAAGATGGGCTTCCCAATCCGATCCAGCACGTGGATGCCCGTAAAGGGCACGTACTAGACGTACTACGGGTTGCCGCATGGATCGTGCACGCGGGGGGAAGAGATGCAGCAAAGACTACGGAATCTTCAACCATGTAACGTTGCCGCCCAGCGGGGCGTGCAAGTACGCGGATTTCACGTTGTGAAGATCAACCGGCGCAGCATACATGCTGTCAACCGACCATACAACATGCCCAGCAGCATTGCGAATGAAGTTTCCGGTGCACACAAGTCTGGCCTTCCAGTTTGCATCATCTAGGCTGGACTGTCCGAGCTCTTAGTCCTTAATGCCTATCAGCATTTTTGCGCCAAGCATTTCAGCCGATGGGAGGGTCCTTTGTACGAACAGCATCCCATTCATCCAAAGATGCCATGTCCAGAACATCATTCAATGCCAGATTGTTGATCTCACCCTGCTTAGCTTTATTCGCTGCAGGACAATCATGCAAAAGATCCCACGGTTCAATATTCTTTGTGACAAGGCCAAACACACCGCAAGCACCCATGGCAGATGAAGCAGCCGCATATTCACCTGATGACGCCGCTTGGTCAGATGACTCTGGACGAAGCTCAGTGCTGGAGGAAGAACTTTCACCATGCGATGGTGAGCCGGGAGGAGGGCTTGTATCAACTACATCCGAACTGGGCTCTGGAAGCTCATGCGGATGGACGCCCCCACGCTCCTCCTGCGGAAGAGTCACATATTTATGCGCTGGGGCATCAGATGGAGTCGTCTGGCGGCTGCGCTCCCGCACGAGGCAACGCGGTTCATCTGGCGTGCTAGGCGCACTGATGTCCAACCGAGGTGGGGCCTCGCCAGATTCATGTATGGAAGGGTCGAAACCGGGCCCGAAAGGATGTGTTGGCAAAGGCCCGAGACTGCTTGAAGGAACAGCATTGTCACGATCGTCACCGCCATCACTCGGCCCGTCATCGGGCCCATCATCGGGAGCAACGACACATCATCAACATCCACATCGCGATCCTGCGGAGCATGCGGTGGTGGAGGTGGCGACGGCCCCCCCGACGGCAACAAGGAAGAATTGTCGAACTCATCCAAGCTGGCATGACCAAAGCAACGAACTTGCAAACAACCAGGTGACTGATCATGCTTTGCGCGACGATTGCGGGACAAACAAGCCTTGCAGGACACTTCGCAATTCGTGGCCCACAAGCCACACAGGGTGCATTTGCCAGAGGCATCAGCTGTCGGCCCAAGGTCATCAGGCACCAACTCAAACATGCGAGCAAGCTTGAATCAGGATGTTGCTCACGCAGCTTAAGGAAAGGGAAACGCAACTCTGGCATGAATCGGACATCACGAGTTTTCACAATGCGAGCCTCGCTTTTTGATTGCACGTAATGTTCATAATCAAGCACGACGTAGGACTCTAACCGACCGTATCTTAAAGCCACACCTAGTCGACCCCGCGGCTCAAACTTCGGCAACGACGTCTCTTCAAGGAAGAAGCATGCCGAACCAAAAGGCTGACGACGGCTGATGTCATACACTCTGTCAAAACGACGCTCATACGGAGATGGGCCGCCATCAGGTGTAGGAGATCGGGCATATAGGTACCCAAAGGCCGCCAAGCAGAATGCCCAAAACACATCCGGCAGCCCACTCATCAACATCAGCGAGTGCATGCCTTCAGCAAGAGTCCGATGAAAGCGCTCTGCACACGCATTTGTTTGCGGCCTGTATGGCAGGCTGCATTCATGTCGGATGCGCTGCTGCTTCAACTGCGTATCGAACTCAGCATCAAACTCGCCCCCATTGTCGGTGCGACAACAAAGCACAGGTGGGCTCAGACCACCGTACATGTCATTCTAAGCTGCCGCAGTCTCAACCGCCGTTTTGGAGCGCAATGGAGGCACACTGGGGTAGCCTGGCCTCGTCACGCGTCACGATGGCATAAGCTTCTCCGTTCAAGGAGGCTTTCGTGGGACCAACCAACGCACAATGTATGCGCTCACCAAACTTCACCGCAAACTCCTTGGAGTCCTCGTGCTTACGAGCCGCTGGCTTTTTTGTAATTTTGGCTTGCACACAGATAGGACAATTAGGGTCCGCAGGCAAATGAGTCAAACAGTGATGTTCAACTTTGGACTTCGCGCTGGCGGCAGTTGTAGCGCATGCAAGGGGCTCAAGATCTCCAAATTGGGTTTGGCTCGCGAACTCATCGAAAAGTGTTTGAAAGAACTCGTCGGTTAGGCTTTTCAGGAATTCTGGCGTCAGCATGCGTCAGCTTCTCAATCATTCTGGGGCCTAGCTCCTTTGCGACGCTTGCATAGAAGGCATCCGCGTCAGCACCATTGCACAAGAAAGGCACGCGACCATGCACAACAAGCGGAAAGTTTGGTTCGCCATCCTTCCGAAAGTGAGGTTTGCTCGCATAAGCGGACCAGTAGAAATGAAAGCCCATGTCCGCACATGCCTCACCCATGCAAGCCATGTTGACCGAATTGTCCATCACCAAGGCATTGCGTCGTCCAAGATGCGGCACTTCAACATCAACTGTGGAATTACTCTGCGCTACGCCGGTTAGGCCTTCAACCTCAGACTTGCAAGCTCGCAGGGTGTTCCAATGCTGGTCTTCAGAGTTCTGCGCGTTAACAACAAAACGCGATGCTCCAGAATCCAACGCCCATGCGCCGGATGCGATCTGCGCACATGCACTTGCAAGTTCTGGTGGCATGTCAACCGCTGCCCCTGCAAACTTTTTGGCCAAGAAATCTTGGAAAGCCTTCGCAAGAGCATCCTGTGCTGCTGCCGCGCTTGGTTGTCCTGAGGAAACAGAGCTGGATGCATTCAACCCAGGAGGAACTGTTGGTGCTCCATGAGCCCCGGTCTTCTGCGCAAACTGCGGGCGGTAAGATGCCGACTGCGGATTGTTCCAACATTGAGATGCGTCGTGATTGGGCTTGCCGCAAAAGCCGCAAGTGATTTTCGCCTTCGTTTTGCCATCCTTGCCTTTCTTGCCTTTCCCAGGCCCCTTTGCTGCGGCAGCTGTGCCACGTGCAGCGACCAAGGCTGCCCTTTCAGCCTTGCGGTTGTTCCGCTTCTCAATCTCACCCAAGTACTCTGCTTGAATGCTTTCGATTGCCTGAATCAGGCCGTTCAGGTCCGTGGATGAGCCAGCCGCCCACAATGCAAACGTGGCTTTCAACTCATGAAGTCCACGAAGCTTGTCCTTGAGCAATGATATGCCCATGGCGTTTGTCAGCTTGTGCTCTCCCGTACCCATCTGATGACGATACAGTCTGAAAGGAGCCATGAAATGCCCCAGATCTTCCAGACCCGCACATGTCAACTTTTGACTCTCAGAATTGGCTTTCGTAGCCAAATGTGTGGATTCGTGCTTGTGTCGTTCATCCAAAAAACGCAATGCTTCTCTGCCACATCCGAAAGCAGCCCGCGCTTGTATCGTTTTCATTTTTGACATGCGCCAACAATGGCGGCAAATAGGCTGACATCTGCGCGGTTCATGCTAGGATCCAGCATGGCAGGCAAATCTGCAAATGCCACGCTTTCATCTTCCAACTCGCGCAAATATGTTAGCGCAAGAGCAGGATCTGGAGATGCACGCAACACCTGTGCGCACAAGCTGTACCTCCATGAATCATAATCTGCATGTCCCTCCGGAAGATCTTTGATGAAGGTCCGGCCTGGGGTTTCTTCACCGGTGTTGGTAGTCGAAGTTGCCATGCCACTTGCTTGAATCTATGCCCAGGACGTGGAGCTTGGGCTCATAACCCTGTGCGGAGTACGCGCAGGGAATTGATGTTAAGCGAACCGCGTCACTGAAGTCACAGGCAATCGTT